TGTATTTGTTAATTTCGGTAAAATAGGGTTCGTAGTAATCATTTCTTCTTCCAGATCAACATAATATCTAATTCATCAAGAAGTTCCGACATCATCATCCGGCATGGTTTGGCTTGGTCCTTACCATGAAAAATTTATGTGCTGTGTAAAAGAACTCTTCCCTTAATCAACCGTCAGATGAAATTCTTCCGATCCATAATGTAAACCCTTATATCATCTCTCACTTCAGAACTTCAGAGGTACCCATGCGAGGGGTACCACGCCCTTCTAACCTACCCAATAGTTAATAGCCTTGAAGCGAAAAACACCAAAGAAGTCTCAGAAGTCAGTAACCACCCGAAGTATACCCAATAGATCTCCGAGAAAGACCACTCGTACCACAGGCCAAGTTCAAGAATATAGACTAAGAACTCATTAGGTTAATCAATCGATGCTAAGTGTATACGCAAGAGTGGTATATAATTTAGACTCAACAAAATTTAGGATGTGTGATTCTGCCATGTCTCATGTTCCTTGTCTGGTTGTGGACTTGGGGCAGAGCCACCCCTCCGAACGTTTTGTCAATCCAAATTATATACGACTTGTATACACGAGGTGATGGTGGATGACCTAAGTATGAGTCTTATCATGAACTTCAGAGCAAAAGCCCGCATGATTACTGCAAACAACCGGATATACCTGAGTGGAAGTGGTAGCAGATTACAAAGAGCTTCATAATCAAGTTAACCAAGGCAACAGGTGGACTTGATTGCCATTTTGGGTGATCTTTGTCAGATTAGCCAAATCCGCACCCTTCCTACAATTTTAAGGAATCAGGCAAAATAGAGAAGTTAAGTAGGACGTGTTTCCGAGAAATTAGTTAGACTGCACGGTGTTCCAATATCTGTTATATCCGTTTGAGATAGTAGAATCATCCCCCAGTTCAGGCAGTCACTTCAGAAATTTTTGGGAAACTAGGCCAGTCATGATGCATAGCCTACCATCCTTAAACCAACAGACAGAATGAGAGAACGATTCAATCATTAGAAGTTGTGCAGAGAACATATGTGATAGACTTTGGTAGAACAAGAATACCCACTCACCAACTAGTCGAGTCCTTGACCATGCTAGCATTTAAAGTTGCTCCATTCGAAACCCTTTGTGGTCGCAAGTATAGATCCTCTCTGCACTGGATTAAAGTAGGCGACACGCAACTAGCTAGAGGTCTAATTTCCAGACGGCACCTTCGCTGGTCCGAAATTCATCCGAGAAACTACCAAGAAGAGAGTACGAATCCAGGAGCGACGAGAAGCTCCTAGGGTCAGGCAGAAAAGCTAACGCCTTCGATAAGAGGAAAGCCTTGGAACTCCAGATTGGTGACCTCGACAAGTGAAGGTCTCACCCGGAAAGGCTGGATACGCTTAGGAAAGTATGGAATACTAAATCCAAGGTACGTAAGATCATTTGAGATCCTTACTAGAGTTGATCCAGTAGCTTATAGACCCCGACTACCTCGGGAATACAATGACATACACCCTACTTTCCACGTCTTTAACTTGAAAACTGGTCGTCCGACGAGACTTTTGTTATCCCACTCGCTTTGATCGAGGTAAGCGAGAACGTCAACATTGTGGAAGAATCCGTAGAAATCCTAGACAGCGAAGTCGTTAGGACTAATCATATCCATATCCCGATAGTGAAAGTCCGCTTAAAATGCATAGCGAGGACCTGAATTCACTTGGGAGCGCGAGGATCAAATGAAACTGAAATATCCTCATCTTTTCCCTTAGTTTATCTATATTTGCTTAAACTCTAATTTCGGGACGAAATTCCCTTTAACGGGGGGATGATGTAACAACCCAAAATTTCTATCTTGTAAAGTCAACCAATTCAATCAAAAGTCAGAATTGTATCTTTTACCTTTTAGCCTTGCTAGGGGTTATTCTATGAGTTTTTAAGCCTTGTACACTTAGGATTAGATACTAAGAAGTGTGAGTAATGGATCTATGGAATGCATTCGAGCCAAGAACATCAACAAGGGATGTTCATGGCCACAAACTAGGTTCAAGGCCGTGAACCCATGTTTGGCCGTGAACCCCTCACTACACATATAGATTTCCTTCATTTTTCTTTGTTTCTCACATCTTCCAACCAAGAACTCTGAAACTCTCTCAAGTATCATCAAGGGAAACCTTCCTATCTCTTCAAAAACGTAAGTGATTCATTCCGATTTATTAGTTAATCTTCATATACAAGTGAAACCCTTTGATAACATCCTTGAATTCATCACTTTTCCTTCAAGATCTTCAAATCACCATCTTCTTCACCAAGAACACCAAGAACACACACTTGTTCTTGGGCCATGAACACCTTAAAGGCTTCCAATAAGTAAGTATCTTATTCATCTATTTGTTGTCCATTAGAAGCACTTGAATCCCCAATGAAACAAACACCTAAATGCATGAATCTTCAAGAGTTCACGGCCGTGAACCCTTCATAAATGAAAGTATGGCCGTGAACCCTCCTTCCATGGCCGTAAAGCCTTCTTAAGACCAAGCTTGGGCCGTGAACACTTCAAGTGTTCTTGGCCGTGAACACTCCTAAGGCCGTGAAGACTTCCTTGTGTGGTCGTGAACTCCCTTCAATCAATCATATGTGATTGTAACACTTCATTGCAAGTGTTTCCTAGTACCTAAGGTTGTTCCCTTACACGATTAGTTGTTATATACACTAACTGAATACATATATGTGTCATTATATGCTTAATAGGGTCCGTTTGTGCTCGAGACTTCACTTGGTATACTAAGCATCCTATATCGATCTTTTATTCGAATCACTCACTACAGGTGAGTCCATACCCCTAAATTTACCTTTTAATGATTTTAAATGCTTTTATAGGGGGGGGGTGGAATACAAGTAGAAAACAATATAGTTGTATAATCAATCACATGTGATTTCTAACTATCAAACCAAGAGATTCCTTATACTTCAAAACTGTGTTACCAAACAAACTGTTACAAATCCTTTTATAAACTGACATCAAGTCATCAATAATCATTCAAATGGTTAGAACTCTTTTTATATGATAAA